AACACCAGCACACACACAATAGCACACACTCAGCATGGATAAACGCAATTCACAGACTCACCTCAGCCAAATTAATTAGTGCAATTAAGCTAACCGCGCCAGGGGAAGCACCTGTCAACTGCCTGGCATTTCCGCCATTTAGTATTTGTCCAAAAAATTAAGTATACGCAGTGGATGCCCCTGCGATGGCTGTACTTGTGCCGAAATGCGGTTCCACTTCATTGGCATTCATGCTGACCCGCCACAGCAGCAATTTGCTAAGGAAGGAAAAATCAGGCCGAAACTTTCGAGCAGAAGGATTCAAATGTCGAAGCTAAACGATTTTCCAGCCAGCAGCAGCAGCGGCAGCGGCGTCGGGCACAAACAATTTATCTTCGCGACGGAGCTGGCCTATAAAAATGGCAATCATTATTATAGTCATGTACCAGGCAATGGGGCGTTACGGCAATCAACGCCAGCGTCCCAGGCAGGGCTCCATAAATAAGCGCACAATTTCAATTTTCAACAACGCCCCAAAGGAGCGAGAACCAAGCCCCCGAACTCCAGAACCCTTGAAAACCGGAGACAGACGCAGGCCGCATCGAAGATTATATGGTATATGGCTCATTGTGGCATGGCCTGTATTTAAATGCATATTTTAATAGCCATAAAGCGGGAGAAGAGCCCGAAATGCCAGCGGGCACACTTAAAGGCCGCCGCCAATGGGCACAGATACTCAGATACTCGCTTAAGGAGCCGAATGGAGATACGGATACTTGGCCAAGACAAGGCCGAATGCGCAACTAAAACAAGAGAGAGGAGACTCGTACATGTGCAGGAACGTAATATATAAATTATAAACGCAAACTGTGCGACAAGGATTTCTGGTTGGGTTTTTCGGTTTCCTACGTTCTGTTCTGCTTGTCTTATTTGTGTTTTTTTTTGTTTTTTCTTCAGTATTATTTCAGCCGGTCGACATGCGATTCGGTTGGCAAATGATTTTGCAGTTCGACGTGGGGAGCTTATACCGTTTCGAGGGCGGCAAATCGAAGCATAAACGGGCAAATCGAGCGGGCACATGGCACATGGTGCACGTCGAAGGTCAAGGGTCATGAAATTTACTGCAACACTTGCCGGCGGCCCGAAGGCATCTTTTGTGAAATAGTCTTTTTCGTATATTTATAGGCTGGATTGAAATTGATGACGTCTCCATCGAGGTGGTATTCGCCACGCCCCTTGCCTCCATCCTGTAATCCTAGTTCCTAGTTCGATGTCATGCCGCATGCAGATTGTCGTGCAGCAGAAAGCGAAGTAGCTGCAACTGCTAGCAACTCACTGAGAAAAGAATCGTCACGGTTTAAGCGAACAAGGGAAATTAGGGATATAACCTTATATAATATATGTGGGATGGTTGGAAGACAAGAATGCTGAGACTCTTTCTTTTGTAAAATATTCTCAGACTTAAACTTGCATCCAACTTATACCAAAAACGAGTCACAAACTTCCAATCATCAAAGTTTGCGGTGGTAATATTTATATACTAAAAGACACCTTATAAAACAGTAGATAAATTCCATAAAAATGTCTGAAGTGGAGTTTGTGAAAATAAAAGATTAGTAGCACTTATTCCCCGCAGTGTATGCGATGGCAACTGCCGCAAAGTCTGTGTTACCCTGAATCGATCCGAAGGAGGAGCAGCAGAACTCGAGTTCTTATAACTTCACCCCACTGTGCATGTGCACACTTTCCGTGTGTTTGTGTGTGCTGGCCATTCAGGGTGTGTGTGTGTGTGTGGAGGGGAGCGTGTGTTAGTGGAGGCCAGGACCCAATGCCTGCGGCGTATCCTCACGCCTATGAATATGCCACGCGATGTGATTGTGAGTGCGAAAATGTGGCGACGGCAAAGGAAAGGAAAGTTGGAAGGACCCGGGGCTTTTCAGCCCAGTTCGCTTCGGTTCGGTTTGGTTTGGTTTGGCTTAGCCTGGCTTGGCTCGGCTTGGATTGGCTTGGCTGCTGGCTCCAAAACGCCAGTGGGCCAGGATGACGTAGTCCTCCGGCCAAAGTGTGTTAGTGTGCCTGTCTTCCGACTCGGGGTTGCACACTCACACAGACGCAACGAGGGTGCGAAGGGGCATTAAATGGTTCGTGTTTTCCTTCTTGTTTTTTTTTTTATATTTTTATTTTTGCCTCATCTCGCTCGTTTGTCGCTCATATTGGGGTCGCCTGACGGTTCATACTTTAAAAGCGCCATTTAGTCCACAGCCAGCTAAATTATTAAAAGCAAATCCAACACAAACACACAGGCAGTTCATTAAATTCAATGTATGCAAAATAGCGGCAACAAATGCGACAAAAGGCAATCTTAGGCCGCCCCACTGCCCCCCACTCGGCCATCCAGCTGTTGTCATTTTCCAGCCACGACCCCCCAAAAAGAGATTGCAAGACAAGCTCATCATAATCATATGCTTCCTACTGCACTGCGAGAAAACTAAAATCTTCTAAATCATAGGATAAATAGATTGAAAAGAATATTTGGAAAAAGGGAACAGATTTCGTCTGTTTAAATACAAGTTTGGTATTTCACCATAACAATGAGATATTTCCAAGTCAAAAAACTCTACTAATCAATCAAATCTTGTGAAAACCGATTGATAACTTATTCGATTTCAATTTTAAGTTTTAAAATTGTCCAAATAAATATTTTGTTGCCTAGTTTTAGGAATAAATACTTTTAATTGAATTTTTCAGAAACTTGTTAGTGTTTCCTATAAGAAATGCAAATAGAAAACTTTAAATCACAATATGGACCACTTTTGTTGTACTTTTTTTCGCGTGTAAAAACTTTGCTGCGCAAATATGTTTCGCCAACTTCAATTTGTGTCCCAGGTAGTAAGTTTACCGAGGTGTGTGTGTTTTAGGGGGCATGCCGTGTCGCTGTGTGTACATGTGGGTGTGTGTGTGCGTTGGGTTTTTTATGCGTCACGTGAGAATTTCCTTTATTATTATTTGACTTTGGCTGGTTCGGTACATATCACGTATACGCAACGTACAATTCCGCAGAAAAGGCATTGATTTTTTTGATTTGCTTTCGGTTTCGCCACCGCCACCGCCCCTTCGTTTCGTTTATTAGTTTGATTGCTTTTCACTTTTTAAGCATGGATACTCTGCACTTTTCTGCTTTTCTTTGCCCAGCTCAAGCAGAAAAATATTTGCTCGTCAGTTTTTTTTTTCTGTTTTTGTTTTTTGTTTGTGTTTGGCACTTTTTGGCATTTTTTTTTGTTATTTTTTGCTCTTGTTGCACGCTGTTCAGTTCATCAGCACAGTCAAACACTCACTCAGACTAACGCACAAATACACACACACACACAATTACGCACACAGACGCGCGCGTAAAGAAATATACTAGTAAAATACAAATTGCTCACAATTTCCTTTGCTCTAGTTTGTTGTTCTTGTTGGTGTTGTTGCTGCTCCGCACTGTTTTGTATTTTCTTTGGTTTTTCTCCCGGGAAAATTTCACGACCACGCGCTACAACGGCTGACCACGTTCTGAATTTGATTTTACGCTGCCTTGGTGGAATATGCGAAATTTTCGTTGGTGAAAAGTCTTAAGTTCACCAGCAGGCGGCAGGCGATTTTCCGCTCACAGGACCTGCGCACTCCAACCTGCAGGTGACACACTTTTCCGCGCCAACCGTCGCCGATGAAGTGGATTTTCCGACTTTTACTTCGTCCCGGCCGCTTCGCCCATAAACTCTACTATTTACATGGCACAGCGGTTAAAGGCAGCAGGCAGTTTTCCTTCGTTTCCCTACTTTTTCGTAGTTTAGTTTGAAGTGAATTTAGCATGCATTGCCCGGAGGATGGGTGCACTGAACGAAATACAAATTCGCAATAGTGTGTGATGCTTCTTCCTTTCACAACGTAAAAAAATTAGAGCTTAAATCAATATTTATGTTTAATATTTATGCAATACTATGATTTTAGGTTTGAAATTTGTATATAGGATATTTAAAACTATTTTTCTGAGTGTCGCGTCGCAGGCTCTGGCGTGACAAAGCGAAAAAGTCAGTTTCAATGGCCGAATATTTTCGGGATGCTGCTGCCCAGTCCAGGGAGTTGAAAATTCGCATTTGCCACATCCATAATGAATGACATGCCCTTTCGGCCAACCTCGTCTTTGGGTTAAGCTCTCCGAGTTAACTGACCTTTCGCAGTGCGGCTAACAAGAAATGCAAATAAATGGCAATACCCTATTGTTATGTCCAGCACTGTTTGTGCTCTGGGTAAATGCAATCTGAAATAACATTTATCGCATATCCGCACAAACACATCGTAGAAAAAGTAAACGATTTAATTTTGAGCACACTCGGAGTTGCTGATTTTGGCATTTCCAATTTAAATATTTAACCAAACATTTTAATTAATGAAACTAGTTTTAAATTGTATTTGCTCAAAGTGTGTCTGCGTGCGGTTGAGGGGGTAATAGCTAAGCATTAAAAAAGTATTTTGGCCAAAACGGTTTTCGTATATTTATCAAATTAAAATCTTTGTACCATTTTGCAAGCTCTTTGAGCTGCGGTACACGAACATGGAAGGCAAACAAGCCGGAGTATAAAGCTAATTAAACTGAGCAAAAACTAAATGGGCAATTTATTCATACTTTTGGTTTTGTACTTAAATAAATTTAAACGTTAGTTAATTGCATAGAACACCATATAGGTACAGTTCAAACAAGAAAGGCTGGAAAGCTTTGAAGGGATTAGTTGACAATTTGACAAGAGTACTTCCTCAGATATTGGTAAAAAAATGAATTTTTCGAGCAATTTTATGAATTTTATTTATTAATCATTTTAAATGCGTATGGCTGCTTCATTAAATCATATAAAAACATTTATATTGCAGATTTATATCGTAACTGATTTTTGCAGGCTGAAAAAATTTTAGTTGATCTGATTTTGTATATATGTATGTACATGTTTTAACTAGACAATCATTTTAATTGTTTAAAGAGAGTTTACCTTTATTGCATGCTAAGAATAATTTTAGAAACACGTTTGTAATGGAGTGAACCGGACTAAAGCCAAGATACGAGCGAGGCAAAACCGATATAAGACTTTGAAAACAACACTGGACTTTATTCTCGGGGGATCAGTTTAAGACTAGCTTAGAATAACAGAATTCAGTGGCGGGCGAGCAGTGTGGAGACTTTTATATAATCTTATAGAGAGAACAGCTGATAAGGTTTTACATTGTTAAAAAAAAAGGCACCCCCATTTTATTTGATTATTCTTCAAATTATTCTTAATTTCTGAAATTTCTTTAAAATAATTTCCTTCTTCTTTAGGATTTTGGAAATAACTAGTTTATACCAAATGTTAAAGTGTTTACCCAATTATTCCATTTGCATTCCGTCTGCTGACGGCTGTTGAAGTCTCACTCGGCCAAAAACTAAATTGAATATGATATTTGGTGGAAAAAAGTTTTGCAAAACCATATTCCACCGAGAAACAGCGTTGGCGGCACCCCAAAAGGAAACCACCGGCTTCAACTGCAAAACGAGAAATGCGAAACGCAGCGGAATCAAAAGAGGAAAGCACCGAAAACCCCAGAAACAAAAACGGAAAAATAAAGCCCAGCCAAAGCAAACTGAATTCAATTCAGCGAAATCAACGCCAACGGCGGCTGCCTGTCAATTAAAACATTAAAACGCGCTGAAAAATGCAGCGAAAAGGCGCAAAATAAACAAACGCCGAAGCGGCAGACACTGGCAACATTTTCAGCGATTAGAAGCATAGAATTTCGCAATGGAGCACTTAGAGCTGGAGCTCGAGACCCAGACTCAGACTCAGACTCAGACTGAGACTCCGATTCCGAATCCGAATCGGCGACTCAGGGGAGGGACTAATGTGTGACCCAGTTTGGATCACTGTGCAGGAAAGGAACTATGTGTGTTTTGGCTATTTGCTTTTTGATCATTAAAAACTGGTTGCCCGCAGCTGAGCGCCCATGTACGATTGCGGTCAGATTAATAGAAGCAGAGCTGGCCACAAATCAGTAAAAATAAATCATTAATGAAATGCCAATGATCTATTTATCATATGATTTCTGTTGTACTCACATAAAAAGTTGGAGTTGAAGAGAAAGAAAATTAATATTTTTTCAATAAATCAAAATATTATCTTTTTGAAATATATTTATAAATGGAACTATTGTATCAACGCCAACTGTAAGTATATCTTAATTTTGAGCGACCGCCCATGTCTTCGGCGGCAGCGGAGCTTTTGGCATTGCGTTGTGGCTTTATAAACGGCCAGCGATGGCGGCCGCGAGCCGAGTTTTACCGTTAGATTAGCCGAGCGCGCGCGCATTTTCCCACGGTTGAGGAAAATCAAAATTATAGTCATGAAGGATCGATTTAACTGGATATCCCTGGAGCTGATCCTTCTGATCGGCACAGCCATAGCCTTTCCGGATGGCGCTCCCGCGGATACGTGTGTAAAACAGCGAGCCAATCAACCGAATCACGGCAAGGCCAGAACGCAGCCGGCCCACTCGAATCCCTACGAGGTGGTGGCCGATGCCCAGACATATCACCCCGGTCAGCAGATATCGGTGGTTATATACCCGCACTCGGACCAGAGCACCGTTTTCCGGGGATTCTTCCTGCAGGCGCGGGATGCCAACTCCAACGAGTGGATCGGTGAGTGGGTGCAGAGCGAGAACACCAAGACCATTCCGGAGTGCTCGGCCATCACGCACTCGGATAACAGGGACAAACTGGGCGCCAAACTAATCTGGAAGGCTCCGCAAAATAAACGCGGCAATGTCTACTTTACGTAAGTCGAAATTTTATATAGAAAGGTATGGTTTTCATTGATGAAAGACAAAAAAAGGAAACATTTCAAGAAGATTCTTAATTCTATAATAATAGGGAAATAAAAACTTATAAATTTTTAATGAATTTATTTTACCAACATATTTAATTAGATAAATTAATACAAATATTCTTTTATTTATATCTTACCTCAAAGCTTCCTGAATTCAAACTAAATTCACGGGCAATTTTCATGAGCATGGTAATTTAATAAAATGGTGTTTAACACCCATTTTTTGGCAGTTTCAATGAAACACTTTGTCAAAACTGGCTTCGTACAAATACAGTACGTGTCTTCTATCGTCCGTCACCATCATCATAATAACCATCATCATCAGTGGGGGTAGAAGTGTGCAAGTAGTAGCACCATCATCGTGGGTCGTGAAGGGATTCATTAATCATACGCCACGTTGACCCACATAATGTAATGCTGGCATAATTGTCAGGCCGACAAAAACTTGCCGGATAATCGCACAAAAGGCATTATGTAATTGATTTATTTGGAAAGAGCCAGCCGAAAAGTGTCTCCAAATCATTTGTCCACAAAAAAGGCATCAAATGGCCAAAGACGCAACGTCAAAACCCCAAAGAAAAGTTGTCAATGCTTTTTATACGACAACATCAACTTTGTCAGCGGATAACACTGGCCAACATGGGGGAGTGCCAACTGTGAATTAACCGAGCAGAAGTTATTTTCCGGACTCTTGTATCATTTATCATTTTGTCGAACCAGAGAATATGCAAATATAAGAATTAATCAAAAACAGACAAGCAAAGTTTGGAAACATATTTTGCACAAACTTTACTCGGAAGAAGTTTCTATGTTTTTTCTTCAACTTTTAATAATTTAAATCCAACAAGAAGGATAATACTGCAGAAATAATCTCACACGAAACCTAGGAAATGCAAATTGAATTCCCTTGTGAACACAGAAAACAGTGATAGACAAATCTTTAGATTTATGCACACCTATTATTCAGAATTTAATTTTAATTGAAATTAATGTAGTCCACTGTTGTCTTACCTTAAATATCATCTCCTGAAATTGTCGAATCATCAATTATTACCTATTTATAGCCACAGCTAAACCTCGCATGCAATCTGCTGTAAAAATTAAAAACAATCATGACTTGGCTTATCGGAGGATTTTACATTTTTGTTTTTTCTCTTGCAGGGGCACTGTGCTACAGGAGTACGGAACCTTTTGGAGCGACATTATTAACAAAGTGCAGGCGGAGCCGCAATAACCGAAATTATGTACTTACTTATAAGGCAGCTGTACACAACGCCGGGCAATAAATCGTAAAAACCCTAATTAGTCAAAACGAAATTGTTGTTTGAAGATTTTTCAAATACCATTCCGACGTCTTGGAGCCAAAAGCGCCCCATTGAGCTGTGCAATCAACATTACAGGGCAAAATTATTGACTTTTTGGCTTAACGTTTATGAATGACCAGCCAGCCCACATTCGAGCAAGCGAACCTGTTCCCGCCGCCCAGCGGTAACCAGTACCCCAGTGACTCCTCTTGGCGCCCCAAAGCACCCGACAACACCCACATCCGCCCACTCCTGGACCAAAATCAAACGCACGAGCCGAGCACGTTTGGGTTTCCAGACACGTTGGCCAGCCTCTCATTGGAAATTCGTTTTGGGTGTCCGGGTAAATTGGAAACTTTAAGCACCTTTCATGCCGGCTGTGCAGAAAGGCTGCTATAAAGTAATTAGACGGTCAGCGCATTTGGCCAAAACATAGGCCAAGATAAGTATTCGTAGCATAGGTCTAAGGCAATTCTGATTGCCCTTTTACAATGGCTTTTAATCGAACGGAGCAGATAAGCAATCATTTGCAGATATGAGGTGTTATAAATGATTTCGGGGAAGTCCTTATCGGCAGACGAGTATGCTTTGAAAACTTATAACGTGTTAGAAAGGTACGTTTTATTAATTTTGTATTCTTTACACACTATTTTGAATGTTTATAAGAGCAATTAAATCTAAACAATATACTTATTACCGTAAACATTTTCATCCGCAAAAAAATATTCAATATATCACATATTCCGAAGCTTGACTGTACAATGCACTCGCATGCTTTGCTTGGAGCTTGTTTACTCGACTGCAAATTCAGTCGTTCGGTTGTTATTGTCATTTCATCGCTGGCTGCATGGCAACCCACTCTGAATGGAAAAAAAGGGGGTGAAGGGGGCATGGGGAGCACTTTGTTTTCGTGCGTTGCTTGTTTGCGAATGTATTCGCCATCCGATTTGCCGACTTGTTTTGATCGAATTCGCCGCACCGCTAGTCTTTGTCTGGCTTCGCTGATAGTGCAGGAGCGCAGTTCAAAATCGATGGTTGTTAGGTAAACACCTGCTTTTTTGTTACTGCGGACCTGAACAAATCGAGTTCGTTGTCCAGTCGGGCGAATTAAAGTCTGTTTTTCCGCACGCGTTTTGTTTATTGCCCGGTGACTTGTTGCTGTTCTTCGTCTCGTTTATCAGCGATTGCAAATACTTGCTGCTCAACACTTTAGTTAATACTTAGCAACTAGCCAGAGAGGTTTACAGATCGCAGACGCTCCAAAACAGCAACATGGTTATCAACTTCGCCGCTGGTCCAGCCAAATTGCCCGAAGAGGTCAGTAAAACGGGTGGGATTGCTATGCAACAACACGTGACATTTTTGTAATAGTAATAAATTGTAAATAACTGTTACATTGTGTTGATTGCAGTACCACATACATATATCCTCGACGCAGCTTTAGTAATTTATATTAATAGTTGAAAACATACCTAAATGTACAGCAAACATTTAATTAAATCCATATATAACCCTTAGGTACTTAAAGAGGTGCAGGAAAACTTACTCAACTGCAATGGAAGTGGAATCTCGGTCATGGAAATGTCCCATCGTTCCAGCAACTATGCCAAGATCCAAGAGGCGGCTATCAACGATCTTCGAGAGCTCTTGAATGTGCCCAGCAACTACAAGATTCTGCTGATGCAAGGCGGTGGCACTGGGCAGTTTGCAGCAGTGGCCATGAATCTAATTGGGCAAACTGGCACTGCGGATTATGTTATCACCGGTTCGTGGTCCTCGAAGGCGGCAAAGGAGGCGGCTCAGTACGGCACAGTGAACGCCGTGTTGCCTAAGCTCGCCAAATATACATCCGTTCCACGGCAGGACACCTGGAAGCTGAACCCCAAGGCCTCGTATGTCTACTATTGCGACAATGAAACCGTAGAGGGTGTGGAGTTCGACTTTGTGCCCGAGGTTCCAGCTGGAGTTCCACTAGTGGCTGACATGTCCTCCAACTTCCTTTCACGTCCTATTGATGTCTCCAAATTTGGCGTTATCTATGCGGGAGCTCAGAAAAATGTCGGACCAGCGGGTACCACAGTGATCATTGTCCGAGAGGATTTAATAGGCAAGCACCTGAAGATCACTCCCTCCATTCTGAATTTTGAGCTGATGGATAAGAACAGCTCTCTGCTTAATACTCCTCCAACTTTTGGGTGAGTAAAAAAGGTGTAAAGTTGGTAAACACTTAAGTAATATTCTCCTTTGCAGCATCTATGTTATGGGTCTGGTTTTCAAGTGGATTAAGCGCAATGGAGGCGTTGCCGGGATGGCCAAGTTGTCTGCGGCCAAATCCAAACTCATTTACGACACCATTGACCAGTCAAATGGTTTCTATCACTGCCCCTTGGATGTGAATATTCGTTCCCGAATGAATGTTCCCTTCAGGATTGGCAGTGCCAGCGGGGATGACGCGTTGGAGAAGGAGTTCCTGGCCAAGGCCGAGGCGGAGGGCATGATCCAGTTGAAGGGTCACCGCTCGGTGGGCGGTATTCGGGCCTCGCTTTACAATGCTGTTACGTTGGCCGAAACCCAGCAGTTGGCCAATCTCATGCTGGCCTTTTACAAAAACAATAAAAATTAAAAATGCTCCTTTGTAATTAATTGGATTTTGGGTTTACAATAGACCACGTTGACGGAAAATTTCGTCCAACTTAAGCTCCAGGTTTATATTGGTGCCCCGCAGATTGTCCACCACTTGTTTGGCCCACACGAAGTACTGCTCTCGACGTTCCTTTAAGACAAAAATGATGTTCTTGAATAAAGGGTTTTGTTGGTTTTTCTAACTCACCTCCGTCCAACCCGTTGGCGTATTGACCTGTAGATCCCGCAAGTTATCCAGCTTGTCAGCCAGTTTAATTAGCTTGGCCCTGCAGCTAGTTTTAGGTGCGTTCACTATTTGTAGACGTTTTCTTTCCTGTTTTTCCAGGGACTTGTTGTCGGTTACCTCGCGCACAAGACCACAAACATCTTTTCCAAAAAGTTTCTCCACATCCTCAAAAGTAGCATCAGTATCTTCTACCACATCGTGGAGCAGGGCAGCCATCAGAACCGCCTCATCTGTGATGCAACCCTCCACGGACAAAATAGTGCTCACATTTATCACATGATTCACATAAGGTGATTCTTTAGGGTCCTTAAAATATTAAAAAAAATAGATTATTGTTTTTAACCGGCTATTTTGTTGGCTAAATAAAGCTTACCTTACGACGCTGCTCACGGTGTTTGAAAGCCGCATATTGCAAACACTCCATAAACTTGGAAGAGGGGTAAGTGGTAATTTTAAACCCGCTAAATAATTATTTGATTTTAATACTTTTTTCCCAACCTAAACTTTGTTTATGTTTTAACAGAGCAGCTGTTATAACATAACAGACCGGCCCATGCCGATAACAGGGCTTCTTTACAGCACTGATGTGCAGCCCTAAACCAACTATCGATAACACATGCGCGCGATAAAAATGAAAATTCAAAAGCCTTTATTTGTAAGTACACAAGGTTTACTCTGGGTTTTCGTTCTTGTCCTCGCACTTTTTGCACGCCAGTTCCCTCTCCTTGCACAAGGCCTCTGCTGCCTCCTCCGCTTCTCTTTTGGCCTGGGCCTCCAGTTCCGGGATAAAGAAGATCTTGCGAGACTTCAGCGCGGACCACTTGAAACGCTTGATGTAATAGGAAATGCCGATCAGGAAGGCCGAAATTAGCGTAACCTTAATGAGCAAAATGCGGCGCTCATCGGACTCCGGTTCCGAAGTCCACTTAAGGAAGACGCACACATCCTTGGCGATTTGGGCAGCCGAAGCAGGTACGTCGGCATCCTCATAGGATACCACCTCATTGTCAATGGCTTTGGCCATGGCAATGGCTCCACCGGAGAAGTAGGGATTGAAGTACAGGCCATCGCGCAGAGCAAAGCCAGCCGGAGCCTCACAGTATCCCGTGAGCAGTGAAAACACATAATCCTCGCCACCCTTGCGGGCTGAAACTATATAGCTGAGATCCGGCGGATAGGAGCCATTGTTGGCGGAACGGGCCGCATCCTCGTTGGCATACGGCGATGGAAAGTGATCGGATAACTTGCCCGGGCGTTCGTAGTACTCGCCCTCATCGTTCGGTCCATCTCGCACTGTTATGCCCTCCGCCTCGGCTTTCGCCTCGCTTTCGGTCATGCAAACGCCGACCAAGTTGCGATAGGCCATGTACTGCAAGGAGTGACAGGAGGCGCAGACCTCCTTGTACACAAAGTATCCCCGGCGCACGCTCTCCTTGTCCAAAGCGGACAGCAATCCTTTGTGGTTCCAGTGCTGGTGCGGCGGATGCACACAATCCGAGGAGGCATCCACACTGGTTTCCAGGGCGTAGATCAGGAGTCCTGTGGCGCCAGTTAGAGCGCCCAAAGCTCCCAGCAACTTCGGTCGTCCGCCCAAAAAGCCACGACTCGAGAAGCTCATCCGCGGACGCACTGATGTCCGGTTGAAGCTACTCTTGGCCAGGTGGAGGAGTTTGCTGCCCAGATTCCGGAATTTATTGGCCATTTTCGGTCCGGTTCAGCTTTTCCTTATAAAATGACGAGCTTGGATTTCCAGTTAAAAATATGTCAAAAAGACCAGGGCTGAAATACTCGGTTGACTAGGGTTGTCACCACGGGGTGAATATTTTGGCAGCAGTTGTAAAAGTTTAAAATCACTACATAATGAAAAAGAGAGTTTTAGACTTTAAAATGTTGATAGAACCAACGATACTCACCTAGGGTGAGATAATAATCCTGCTTCTTGGTTGGCCAAAAATCACCATTTCGAAGAAAATGTGTACATGATGTGGATATTTAAATGTGTACATAAAATACGAGCTAGTGACAATACCTTAATATGATATTACATACAAAGCTTGCAAGATCAAATCTCAACCTCACGAAATTGAAATCATTTAAAAACACATTATAAATCACACAAGTCAGCTCGAATAAGAAGGGCAGGATGCCTAGAAATCCCAAGACCAGACTTTCTTCAAAATTAAGTCCAGATCAGTCTGATTCTTATCGTAGATCTTTCTCCATAAAGCATATGTAAACCAAAACCCACCCAAATTGCTGTTATTCTTTACAGCTAAAAGGTTTTCCTACTATTGTTGTAACCATCGCCTCCTTCTGGCGTTTCTTTCCTGCCCAACGAGCGGAGCAACTGAAAAAAAAAAAAAACGAAAAAAAAAACAAATGCCAGGGCACTTTCATTTGTTATCTGGCGCAGTAATCTGTAAATCTGTAACAGCCCACCAAACAACGGTGCATACAATATTTCCTAGCCATTCTTCACACTGTGTGACCACGAAATCGTCAAAGTCAGGCCAAGCCAGCTTTTACAACGGCTAAGAGGCATGGGCGTGATCTTAGACATTTCAAGGGGATCGCATTGGAAGAAAACTGATCACAACCCAGCTGTATACAATATAACAAGTTCTTTCTTTTTGTTTATCGAATACCTAAGGACACTTAAACATGAAATAACATGATGTTAGAAATTAAGAGCTAATTGTATACCAACAAATTTCGATAGAAACGTATTGTTGGTTAAACTGATTTATGATTAATGAGGATCCCCCTTAACTACGCCCCTGGCAACCAATAATGACAATGCAACGAACGACGCCGGCAGTGCGAGCGATGTAAACTCTTTTTTTTTCAGTTTTTGGTGAAAATTTGTACCTGATTTTATATTTCCCTTTTTCGTTACACTGTTTCGGTTGCTGTTGCTGTTGTTGTTTTTTTTCAGTTATTACGTATTTCCATGTTTACCATATTTTACACGCGCTTACAGACACACAGATACAGATACAAGATACCCCCGGATTTTCCCTATGTGCGTTTTTAGAGTTCTGCTTCTGCGCAGCGATGCATAATTCCCACTTTTGAAATTTGTGTGCGGTTGTTGTTATTGTTGTTGTTGTTTTAGTCTTCTGCGGTGGTGGCTAAATGTTGTTTTTGTTGTTCCCGTTGCCGCTGCGCAATTAATAATTCTTTTCGACTGGCGTGAAATTTTCATAAGCAAGAAAAAGCAGCAACAGCCAACCGCACCAACTTTCCATGAAAATCTCCGGCCATTAGTAGCAATCGCAACGCTTTTCACCGTGGAAAACCGCAGAGATTGTGCTGCGACCCCATAGAAATGGGCTCACGTCATGAATTTTATTCAAATTACAAACTCATTAATAAATAGCGTTGTTTACTTTTAAGCAGAAAACGAACCGGCCATGATTGCTCAATTTCTGCATTGTTGGAAAATCTGTTCAAACGAAATGATTACAAAACATCCATGAACATTTCCTCGGTCTAATTAAACCTTTTTGGTATCTTGAAAATTGGATTTCGATAAATGGAATACCCTTTCCAAGTTACAGTTGCTAAAAATATGCTTTCCTAATTATACTCCCAATGAGCCGAAATAAATCATCATTTCTTTGAATGCCTGAGTGTCTAAAATATGACAGTGACTTCAGGGTGAATACAAACCCCGCGTTTGCCATATCAGATAAAAAATGCAAGAGATATGACTTATCAACTGAATAATTATTCGTGAAAAAGATGGGCCTGCAAATAAAAATACCAGCGAACAGCACAAAAAGTGTGCATAATTTAGCAATAAATGTAAATATTACTGGTCCGCTTCCTTTGGGAGACAAAGCGCCATGCTGCTGCAGTTTCCTGTGGCAGTTGCAGTTGCCTCTTCTCGCAGAAAAGCTGATGCTGATGCTGATGCTGATGATCACCAGCACCAGGTGATGATGATGTTGCCAGAGGATCGTAATAACGACCAGGCTGTGCTGGCCATGTCCCACTCCTTATCTTGGCAGCACGAAAACCAGAAACAAGAATTATAGACCAAAAGCCAGTTGCAATGCGAGTGCATCTTGCATCTTTTGCCACCGATCCCACGTAGGTGAGTGCTATTTGTGTGCTATGTGTATGTGTGTGTGTGTGTGCCAGTGCGGGGGCACTGCATCTGTGTCGGTTGGCCAGAGTATCTGTGTGAGTTGCGCCTTTGGCCAGAAGTGAATGCAACACAAGTTGCATCTGCCGCAGTGCTGGTCAACGCTCCAAAAGCAATAAGGAAATAAAGCTTAACTTAGGTTCAAAATAAGAATCACATTTAAACGAAGAAAACTTGAATAAAATAAGAGTCCTATTAGTTAGGTTGTTCATTCAAATGACAGTACCAATACACATTTCAACAAAAACTGTGATTTATAACAAGTAAGTGGCTCCCATTTGAAACAGGTTTAAAAAAACAAAAATTAATATTCAACGGATGAACCCATCGATTTTTTTCCAAACTCTTTGTTCATAATGAACATCTTTATTTTATGACGTATCTGAAAGATCGTTTTAACGCGTGCGCAGCTACCGTTGAACGCGAACCGAAATCGCATGCGAGAGAGAAAATCCCACAACTTTTTCTCTCTCTTAGATTCTCATTCTCGCTGCCCATTTACCGCTCAATTTCGCAAAAACAAAAAAAAGCTATGCTCCCCTATATACAACAACATCACGACTTGGGAGTGTGTATGGGTGAGTGTATCTGAGTGTGCGCGGATTGTGATTGTGTGTTTATGTGTATCATGCGGTTTTAGTGCGGATTTTTGTAAACTTTTCGCAGTGTTCAGTCACCAAGCTTCGGGAGAAAGATACAGATAGTTGGTGGATAAAAGGGGGAGAATCGGAGCGAAGAGCAAACTTCATCATGACGTTGTAACTGTCTTTTCAATTTCTCGTTCTGCCCGATTCGCTTTGCCAAATGGAGCCTAGAAGATGGATCTCTGCCTCCTCTCGATTCTCTCCACGATTCTTCTCCCCTTCCTTTGCCCCCTTCTCACCCCACACGCACACACACACACAATCGGCAATTGACGGCTCTGCGTGTGTGTGCCCGTTGATGTTGATGAGTTTTGTTTTAATTCTGCTTCTTGACTTCAATTTCTTATAAAGATTGTTTATATGCACGTAATACAGTGAATCCCCTATAAGTCGAACTTAAAGTTTGTTTTAATTTTTGATTAACTTAACAGATTAATTGTATTACAATCAAAAAAATAATCTCTTGGTTGATCATCATTGATCTTAATTGCAAAAAAAACTTTGAAGTTCATTTTTAGCTCTTTAAGATATTGTAATACATATATTCTCCATAAGAATAAACTGCAAACTGAATGTGCTTATGTATGAGTAAAAAGTTTTACAAAATTATTTGAGCAATCAAAGAATATTCCAAATCCCCGTTTTCAGATTTCAAAATCCAAGTTAAAGAAACGGCTCTGTGTATTTGTATCCGTATCTGTGAGATGCAGGCCACACTCTCGTTGTTGTTGTTGTTGTTGTTGTTGTTGCTGTGATTTGGTGAATCGCGCGTAGCCGATTGTAATTATTGTAATCGAGTCTCGAACCGATCCAATCCGATACGATACGATCGCAATAGCGCACAGCCATCGCCGCTCGGGGTTGAGAAGATCAGGCCGCTATAGCCATTGCCATAGCCATAGCCACATCCATCGATTGCCATAGCCATAGCTGTAGCCATCGTCTTCGGCTGATTTGATTCTGTTTTAGCTGCTTTGATCATTTCGTAATAGTTTCCTCAGTGCTCTGCTTAAATCATCTTGGCCAAGACCGATCTGGCCGATCTCGGCGATCTGGCCGATCCAACCAATCCGCGGCTCGTGATCGTTTCGCTTGAGCCGAGCCCGCGCTTTTTCTCTTTGAAGCCAACGTCATCGACAGTCGCAGTCATACAACATACTACGTACTGCCTGCCTACCAGTCATCATGGTTGTTGCTTTAGTTGTCTTGGCCGTTGCTTTTTACTAAAAGTTGATTGACTGTCTGTTCATTTAGCCGCTTGTCCATGGCTCGCTCCGTTTGTTGGCTTTGTGTGCTCTCAGTGCTACATGGAGAAAAAACCGAAATGTAAATAGCAAATAGGGTATATCTATTCAAAAGGTTATAAGATATTCGGAGTGTTTCTCTAATGGATTTCTTTACTTTCGGCTTATTTATTACCCAAACATCTTCAGAAGAACACAACAACATAAAATAATACTTCAAATTTGAATATACATTTACTTTCAATATTTATGACCTATGAAAATCGAGCTAAAGATTTTAGAGTTGGAGAAATTGGAACCTAAGGCTATGCAATTTTATGACTGTTCTCCAATAACTGGGTTTTAAAGTAATAATAGAATATATATATTAAAAAAAACAGTTTAAAGGGCTACATGAAATAGACTTCCATAGTTTTTATAGCTTGGGTTATTTTTCCCCAAAGGTTTCCATACTTTTTTAACAGTGCCTTTTCGTTTCCCCCTCCCCTTTGCAAGCTTCGGTTGCGGCTTCTCTTGCACATTTCGTTTTAGGCCATTATAGTTTTGAACATGTTCAAGTGCCATTCTCACGATTGTTTATAGTCTTTTAATTTCAGCCGGAGCACAAGAAATAAACAGTGAAATTTAGCAGCAGGCGATTTGAGTTGTTCTTTCAGGCCTAATGTTCTGGAAACGAAACGAAACGAAACCAAGTCGAATCCCAGTTTCGGGTGCAGTTTCGTTTAACTGTTGGGGCTGTTGGGTTGCCCCATCCACCAACCACATCTACTGGCCTCCAGCTGGATCCGCGGCAGAATGCCCAACTCCAGCTGGCAGCGGTGAAAGGCCTCAAGTGGTCAATAAGTACCAGGGAGCTCGTCAGAGTCGTCAGTCGTCGCTTCTCGGGCCACGGAACTCGAGTACCCCGAAATGTTTGCCTATTAAACAGTCATCAATGATTGTTACATTCTACAAATAAAAAATGGTGGTGGGCATCGTCGATTCGGAGGGACAGAGA